TGGAAGCAAATGCGCCGGACGCAAAACATAATTGTGCCGGCCGCAGAGAGCAGAGACAACTCTCTGGAACCAACTGAGCCGGGCGTAAAAATCAATTGCGCCGGGCGCAAGTAAGCGTTTTTCGAAAAATGGCCCAGAACGGGCTGTTCCAAGATCAGAACGGGCCGTTCTTAGATTCGAAACAGGCCATTCTGGAATTGGAACAGTCCGTTTCAAATTCCGAAACGGGTCGTTCTGGTCATGGAACAGTCGTTCCAAAGACCAAAACGGGCCGTTCTGGAATTTGAACGGGCAGTTTTGAAGCTTCAGCAGCAGACACGCCGGGCGTAGTTCATCGCGCCCGGCTTAGATTCAACCAGAATTTTTAACTGACGCTTGTGCTAGGTATGAATCTTCGCGCCTGGCATGACTGCCCCAGGGTTTACTTGCTTGTGAAAACATTTGAACCCTAAACCCGAATGTGGGTTAACGAAACCCTCAAGGAGACCCAAAATCAAGAAAAATAAGAACAAGGTATAACGAAAAAGAGAAACAGAGAGTGTGGACACCTACTTGAGTTCGGAGTGTTGGGAGGAAAAGAAGAACGAATGTGCGCCCTTGAGATGGAAGACGTGAGCAGAGAGTGAGGGAGAAGGGGAAGGGATTTCGCGTGAGGGAGAAGAGAGTTAAGAGTGTAGAGTGGAGAGTGGGAGAGGAGTTGAGAAGGTTGGTAGGTTGAGAGATGAGAGTGGGAACGTGGGAGAAGAAGTTGAGAGGTTAAGGCCTCTGAAGGGCGCGCCGGGCTTGCAATTCTCCATGTCGGGCGCCATATCAGTAGAATACCAATAGTTTCCCTCATCTGGTGTGGCACCGGGCTCTGCCGTTTTGCGCCCGGCGAAGTTAGGGTTACAACGTGCAAGCATTAAATGCGCCAGGCTTGGGCAGATTCGTGCTCGGCGTATTTAAGGCTCAGACCTTCCAGTAGTTAATGTGCCCGGCGCCCCAATAAATGCGCCAGGCTTGGTCGTTCCAGGGGCTTTAATGAAGGCTAGGCCGGGCGCAATAGAAATTGCGCCCGGCGTGGGTCTTGGCAGAGGCCCATTTACTCTAGGTGCGCTGGGCGTGGCTAGATCGCGCCTGGCGTGGTTAACTCTGTGAAGCTTTCACCTAGATTTTCCACTCCTCACACTCTTAACATATTCTAATCTATATTAACTCACTCAAGCAAGAGTCACACAATTAATACCTAACACAAAACACATATAATACAATAAAAACAAAAGAAAGCAGAGGACTAGAGCGCACAGATTAGCTCCAATAATTCATTGCCAACACACAAATAAAAATATAAATAAAAACAAAAGAATAAGTCACAAATAGCTACAAATACTAAATTGCCTTGCTAATCCCCGGCAACGGCTCCAAAAACTTGTTGAGATTTCCGTTGAAACACTTTTGTTGTAATTGTAAATTCGTTTAATTCTATCAACGGTCTCAAACACGGCAAGTATACTGGCCTTTCACGTAGTAAAAATATCGTATCCACAGGGATTAGAAGGTAAAATAAGCATTTATTGACTATTCGTGACTAAAGAATAATTTCAATTTCATAGTTTGTCATGTGAATTCAAAGTTGTGACTATTGGAATGAAAGCTATAAATAAATATTGGTTTGTGAGTGGAAAAGGATAGAGATGGTATAATGGTTGTGTGAGGTTGTGGGGGTCAGATTTCACCAAACATTACGCTAACGAATCCTTAATCTCTTGTTACATACATTGCTTAGTCAACCCATAAGTTTACTCAAACATAATCCCTTAGAGAAAGAGCGCCTAGGTGTAGATATTGAATATTAATCCCTTGAGTGCCCAATACCTACACCCGCATTACTGATTAGGGTTTAAGACTACTAATGGGTCAAGCTCTATCCCTAGATACAATCTCCACTAGGCATATGTTCCAGAACTAGTTTCAATGGTATTTCCCAATACTCAATGGAACCTTAAATCATGCAAAGGGTGATCAATCCAAAGCAAGCATTAAGCGTAGAAACGTACACAACAAAGAATGAAACAACACATATATATATCATTAAAAACGTAAGGATTACAATAGAGTACGTTGGCTACATCTAACCCCACAAAAATGGGTGGAACCACTCAACAATGAGGGTAAATACAAAATAGAGATGAAAGGAGAAGTGAAGAACCGAAGGAAAGACCCACACACGAACGGCTCCAAGCTCCGGGAATCCCTTCCACAGCTCCTAAAACTCGCCCCTGTGTGAATGAGGGTTTCTCCCCCGAAAATGGCTTCAAATACGAGCTTGGGGAGATCAGATTAGGGTTTCGCGCCCGGCGCAGGGTCTTTTGAGCACTCTCTGCCTCAGTGTAAGCCCGGCGGAATTCATTTTACGCCCGGCGCGATGGCTTCTAGATGTGAGATACTCTGTTTCGCTCGCCCGGCGCGGGTCATCTTGCGCCCGGCTCAGAACCTCTTCTTTGCTCCTAGCTTCTTAGATTTCCAATCCAAAGGATCTTCAACTTTCCACTCTTCACTCAATACCTGCACAAAAAATGAGGTGGATTAAGGTATTGTTAGATGAATTTGGGTTAGTTATATCTGCACACAAAATGAACCAAAAAGAGAACAATTATATTGCAATGGTTCAGAGGATGAGTGGAATTGTTCAATAAGTCTCATCCAAAAAGAAGTAAAATTGAGACTTAACAATAACCAATATTTCAGTACTTGAAAAAAAACATTTTTTCCAAATTTCAAATAAAAATAAGTTATCCCATGGCCTTCAATAATTAACCACAACTAAAGTCAAATCGATGCAATCAACCACCAAAACAAAATCAGAACAGCACACAGGTTATTAACATATGTCATTTAATAATTAAACAAAATGCACTTATGTGCTTTCCTTGCGTACCTCAAGTCTTGTTCTAAGGAAAATGCAATGAGTTCGACGGAAGAGAAGAATGAATAACAACTAATGGAGGAAAACAAGAACCTAAAGAAGGAGATATTAGAGCTGCAAATGCAAATAGAGCTGCCAATGTAGGAATACTCACCAAAAGAGAGGCAGAGAAAAGCAAAGGTTGTGATCCCTTGAAATCATCGCCATAAGCCCTTTAACTTGTCGCTATTAGCTCGTGAGCTCGTGTCGGTGAGCAATGTTCACAGCGGAAGAGCAAAGGCGTGACTCTTGGGCAGGGTAGACGCGTGACTATGAGTGAAGGAGAAGAAGAAGAATAGAGCGGGGAGAGCAAGGGGGTTAGGTTTCTAAGGTGTTTCTGATGAGAGGGGGGAACATTTGACTCTAAAAATTTTAACTTACCTGCGGCGATTCAACATTAACTGCAAGAGAATAATAGATAATTGCATTTGTTTACTAAAACCGCAATAAGTTATAACTAAATAATAAAGCGGCGGCGGTTCTTTAAAAATGCCGCAAAATTTGTGACGTTATTCCTTTCTTTTGGTATAGTGTAAGAATATGGAGTGTCATTATTGTCATAAAACTAGACACATACAAAAAAATTGTTTTTTGTGGAAGAAGGATAATAAAGACAAGAAAGGTAAGCAAAACGAGAAGGATCATGATGTTTTGTTGATACTGATAATGATGATCTTGTTATTCTTTGTGACCTTGATTCAATTAATCTAGTATCACATGAAAGTATGTGGATAATTGATAATGGTGCTACCATGCATATGTTACAACCAGGAAGAAGTTCTTCACATCTTACACTTCAAATGATTTCAGAGTTTTGAATATGGGTAATGATGGCATGATCAAATTGATTTGTGTTGGTGATGTTTGATTACAAACTAACATGAATATGCAGTTATTGCTTAGAGGAGTCAAACATGCCCTAGATGTCCATATTTTTTTTGTGCAGGTGCTTGATGATTGTGGTTGTCATTAGTTCTGGAAGATGGAAACTCTCTAACGATAACTTGATTGTGACCAAAGGAGGGAAATTTCTAAACTTTGTTGGACAAAATATTTGGTTTTTAAAGACAATGTGAATGTTGTGGATATAGAGGCATCTTGGTAGCACCAAAGGCTTGATCATATCAATGAAAAGGGATTGCATTGTTTAGGTAAAAAGATCGATAGATAAGTGTTTTTATTATATGATTGTTAAATAGATAAAATTATCCTTCACTAGGAAATTTGAGTTGCTAGAATTGGTGCATTTAGATGCTTGTGACACTTTGAAGATGTACTTTTTTGAGGTTACACTTCATTTTGTTACATTTAATGATGATTGTACAAAAAAAAAAAAAACTGAGTCCATGTTTTGAAGAAAAAAGTGTCAGAGAAGTTAAAAGAGTTTTAGGCTTTGGTTGAGAAATAATTATTAGGCAAGAAGTTGAAACACATTGATAATGACAATGGTGGGGAATATTATGACCTTTTGATGTCTACGATAAGTGGTTTGACAAAAAAAAGTAGTGATAAGTGGTTTAATTTATGATGCTTGGGTGGATGAAGATTGATTTTATGATAAGTGGAAAATAAGGAATGAAAGAGATACTAATTTTTGGCATGATGCTTGGAAAGATGAAGATTTTTTAAAGAATTTATTTAGTCGATTATATTTTCTATATATCTTTGCAAAAAGGTGATCGACATATTTTTGGCACGATGTTTATGTGGTGGTAGAAAGTAGATCCATCCAACTTTTATACAATTAAGTCAACATATGCAAAATTGCAATCCTTAAGATCCAACTCCTAGTAGGAGATTGATATCTTTACAACAATATGAAAGTTCAAGCTACCCTCAAAACCATTTTTTGCATGGAATGTGAGGTTGGATATACTACCAACAAAAGTTAAAGGATTGGAATATGTGCAAAATGGTGACCGAGGTTTAGAACGTGTTATTGTTGGATTGCAATACTGCATTTTTTGCAATATGAATTTACATGCATAATAATAATAATAATAATAATAATAATAATAATAATAATAATAAGAATAAGAATAAGAATGAACAGGTTTGAACAGTTTAAGGAAGAAGCATTAACAGCTTATATACAGTAATTATATAAAATCCCATGGGAGAAGGAAAACGAAACTACGAGGCCTCTCCTATTATTTTTACATTTTGTGGAGGCAGGTAAATAAAAGCAAGAGATTTAAATGAAGATGTCATTAATGTGTCAACCATCACTTGCGTAAGGTTTCGAATTACCCTAATAACCTAAGTTGCTCTTGGTTCCTTCAAGTCAGGTATACACTATCCAACACAGCAAAACCAGCTGCTACCCCACCTTCATCAGATGATGATATTTTTGTACGCATCAAATAACCACTTTGTTTATTCATGATAACCTTATCCTTAGTCCTGCGAATTCCAGTCCATGGATATCAAGTTTATGCAAATTTAAACTCAACTGTTACAGACATGTAGCCAAGCAATGTACCTTAAATAAGTACCAAATATTCCAAGCTCTGAAATGGCAGTATCCTTGTGCCAACGACCATTACGCATCAAAACTGCTGCAGAAATAGACGGAAATATCCTCTGCATAAGGATATAAGTTGCATCTTCTGAGTCTTCTTTCTGCAATTTTAGGAGGGTTTCCCTCACATCATCACCATAAATATTGTTTCCTGAAAAGTAATTATAATTCGTTAGATAAGTTTCTTACCATCTTATTTTCAATAAAGTAGGGAAGTAGGTTAAATCAGAGTTTAGGTGGTATAAGACCTCCTCCTTCTCTTTGGGGCTTCATCACAAATAACTCCGGCCTTTCAATTGCTTTTTTAACAATATTTGAGTCATCCAAACTCCACAACCCAGCAAAACATTTACGTAATTTGGCAATGTCATCTTTGTTTTCGAGGTACCTGCTTACAATTTTGATTCAAGTATTTAGTCTTAGACCTGCTTGTTTCCCAAGATAAAATTGCAGAGGGAGGGGGGGTTGGATTGCTATAATCTGAACGTGTTCAGTACATGCAATTCCCTATACCAAAATAGGAAGAATGAGTGTAGCTATGGGAAACATGCATTTTCATCCATCATTTATTTATTTATTTTTATTTGGGACAAAAGAAGAACTGAATAAATATCATTAGAAGAAAAAACAAAACTGTAAGAATAGAAAATATCCTCCATAAGAAAATGAAACATGAAAGCACAAAAAAAAAAAAAAAGAAAAGAAAGAACAAGCAAGGAAAGCACATCAATTCAAACCTCTACCCGCTAAATTCCTGATTTCCTCCGTTGCCATCAATCTCCCAGATAAACACGTTATCTTTCCTGCATCCACTCTAGGAAACCTTTTGAATTGACACCTCTATCATTAGCACACTGAATCCATGACTTCTTCCAACTAGTCTACTCTTTCATCAAAAGCTTCTAGAATTAGGATCTTCCCTATAGACAACATGATCTTTTGATAGCAAACTCCCTCCTTCCAATCCACTCATAATTTTATAAAAAATCAAACTCGATTCGAAACCTTCAACTTTTCCCTCAACAAACTTTGATATGATTGCAGACTTACAAGCATCCAAAAATCCCAAACATTAACCATGCATTCTTGCCACAATTGGCCAACAATGGTTGCAGCTACATTCTGGACGATGCCACTGGATCAGATAAACATTTTCAATTTACAAAAGTAGTCCTACTGAACATTTAAAACAAAAACCTAGCATTCCTAGAGGGTACAAGTACAACAATATCATGACCAACCAACTGAGCAAGGCTTGCACTGGAAAGAAAATCATGAAGGAAAATCTCACTTTACACAGTAACTCAATAGTTCATTATATGGTTTTCTTTTAAAACTTTGCATCTGTGATTTGATCAATCACTTTCAATGCGTAAAGGATGAAATAAGCTTGGTAGATATAAAGAATATTAATTAGAAGATACCTCTCAAGAACACCAGGCTTTGCAAGTTCCTGTTGAATCTTTTTGGTGCCAACCAAATGATAGGATATAGAAGGACATTTGATAGCCGAAGATTGTTCAATCAGTAGCCTAGCTCTCCATTCCTACATATTTTGAGCAAAATATGCCTAAACCATAAGAATTTATAGTCAAACTAGAACACTAATATTACAAGATAATACAGCAATAGCAGGTAACAATATTGAAGTAGAAGATAATCCATGGAATAGAAAGGATGTAGAGAAGAGAAAAGATGTTAGGAACCAATAACATGATATCCTTCTAATTAATAACTACGGTAATCTCCTTATACTATATCCTAACAAAAAGTAAATCAGATTATATTTTTTTCAAAAAAATGTAAAATGACCGAGAAAGTCATGAAAAACACATTATGCTGAGAAATCACCAAAAGATTTTGTTTATGGAAGCCAACTATTATTAGGGACAAAAATAGATATTATTTATCTTCGTAAAGAATTCAATATTTGTAGGCCTCCAAAAGCTAACTACACTTGATAGTTAGTAAGAATGTTGCCCTCTATGCCCAGCTTGACTTCACGTGATAGGTATAAATCCTTTTATCATGTGAATATTAACAGAAGTTTAATTAGCGGATAGAGTAATTAATATTAATGGACAATACAGTACCATTTTCTAACACTAGTGAGAGAGACTCTTTTTGCCACAGAGGTCATACCAGATTCAGTGGCCTAACCTTCCTCGTGCTTAAGAAAATAAAACACATGTTTCTACAGTGAAAAAAAATGGTCCTTATGAGCAGCAAAAAACTTGTTTCAAATCACTCACTGATTCTGAAGGATAGTCAAGTGGTGTATAGCCAGCCCGGAAATAAATGACTGAAACCGCTTGCCCATCCCTGCAAGAGCCAATAAATTATATTTATCTACAATCAGAACCATGACGTATTAAGCCACAAACAATAGCAGGTCAGTTTTTTTATGTCTAAAGTCTACATACACAGAAAGAGTTCCATCTGGTAGAATTTCTCCTTCTTGATCGACTTCTGCCAATGTTTTCCGTATAGTTGTAATATTATGCGTGTTAAAAAGCTAAGGACGATAGAAAATCCAAAAATATGTACTGAGTGAAAAAAACTACAGTAGTTTTCTTATCATAAAAGCAACCCTTTATATTGTTGATTTCACATTTAATAGCACAACTTGTACAAATAAAAGAGTCTGCTCAGTTATATGGTAATAAAATGAACATTTTTCCTTTTGTACTGTAATTAATTATAACTGTAAAGAAAGGATATCTATCGATTAGAACTGAAGAAAACAAATGCTGGTCGTACATGTTCCTCTCTTCAGCCTGAACCACTATCATAATCACGGCCCTGCATGGATACATTATAAAATATAGATGGGAACCAAAAGCAGCAATGTATGTGCAAGAGAAAGTTAAAGGGATTTTTTTTATTTATTTTTTTTATCTGGACTGACCTGCGGTTATTATACTCACTCCAAGCTTTAGCCAAGGCCTCTGCATACTGATTGATGGCATTGTTGGCAGGAATCCTTTTGGAATCTAATCCAAGCAATTTTCCATGGCGAGAAAGTATGTATCTAGAAAATGACCAAATAATATAAAGATATTTATTTTAAAAAGTCTTTAAAAAATATATTACCACCAGAGTTCATATAAATAATTTCAACCATAGTTATTAATCTCTTGTAACAGCACAAAGTGAACAACACCAAAACTGCTACTGCAGAACAGAAGTTCGCTGTTATACAAAAGATCATTGATGCAATATATATATAACTTATACCATACATATGTATAGTTAAGATAAAAAAAAAATATATCCAAAATTAAAGACATTCATAATTCATAATAAATAATTAAAATTATCATCCTGGTACACAATCACCATTAATATATGGCCTATATAGTAATTAATAATGAGAGGAATGAAAACATAGGTATGAAGACTGAAAAAGAAAAAAAAAGAAAGGAAGATCTTGAAATTAATAGAAAAAGAGAGAGAACCGCCCATGGAAAAATTAGTGGAATCAGGACTATGAGGAACTATGCTGTGTGAAGAACACACTATACAATACACAAACAAAATAAATAAATAAATAAAGGGTTAGTTACATTTTTAGTCCCTTTAATTTGGATATGTGCAATTTTAGTCTCTTAAGATTTTTTTGAGACTAAAAAGTCTCTATTTTTAAACTCAAGTAAATTTGATCTTTCCATTGATTTTCTTCTTCTTAAAATGTTCAAATTATTGTTTCCTACTTTAAATATTTACAGATTGAATCACTTAGAAAGTTTTAAACTTTCTTTTGCTCAAAACTCAACAACCAAAATATCAAACTCATGCCCAAAAAAATATCTCATTTTTTTCTTACTCAAACAGTCAAAACCCTGATTCACATGGTATAAAATTCTTCAAATTTTATAAAATGTTTACTAAAGTAGTGACTTCCTACTTCTTAAAATTATTTTATATCTTAAATTTATCCTAGACCCCAAAATATTTGGATAAAAAAAAACTGAGTATGAGTATTTTATGTGGAAGAAAATCACCAAAGCAACCATATTTGTTCAATTTTAAAAATAGAGAAACATAAATTTGAAAATACTTGACTAAAATCTCTTGTAATTTAAATTTTTTAAACTAAAAGACCAGTACTACAATTAAGCCAGAAACAAAAGGAACAGAGACCTGTGTGTGTACACTGAACAGAGTCAATAACGAGCTGCATGGATGAACAGGTTAGCAAAGGACATCCATGAACAGTGGCAGAGGCTTGGACATTAAGAGTTCAAAACAGAGGTTATGGATTTTACATTAATGACTGAGAGAGAAGTGCTTCAAACCCTTATATGCTTTCCGATACAAAAAATACAAGAGAATGTCTCGAAAGAAAAGGGTTTGAAAACTCATAATTCAGTGTATGGTTGTGTCCCTCTTCACCTCAGTGGACATGATCTTAAGGGTGCCAGTCAATACCCAAAAATATGACATGACTGAACTCCAGTAGCAGCCACCTGCCGCAATTCCATTTAGCCTTGCAATCGTGCAAGATTGACTACCCTGAATTTTCAATGTGGGCAAATATACTTTAATACCAAGCACATACATTATGATTTTCAAATAAACTCTGATTTGAAACCACTTAAAAATTCAAGTGTACCACAGAAGATTTAAAAATCTGTATGAACAATGAGAATCAGGTATTTAACAAAAACAAACTGATAGCTGAATGAAACAAAGACCTTTCAAAAAATTAGATGATAGCACAGTAGGAGTGTTGTAAAGCAACACTTACCGATGAAGTTCAGTCACAAGATTACTAAGACTGGCAAAGGATGAGGCAATAGTGTTCAGTTCTATTTGCAAAAGTGATTTAGTCTTTTCATCAAGCATATAATCCGAACGGTGTAACCCCAATCGTATTTCCTATTACAGAAGAGAAAAATTAATGAGTAAATTCCTTTGATTCACTTCAAGAAAAATAAAGAAAAGGAGAAAAACATCAGATCTGTACCCTCAATCTTTTGCTAGAGTAAATTATATACAACATTTCTGTTTTCTATAAAATGATTTGCAACAAACAAAAATGCAGCGATGCTCTAATTTCTAAAAGAATCCACTCTATTTCTCAATCAGAATATTACGAGCACAAAATGAGTTCCTAGAACAAAAAAATATAAATAGTGATCATCTTGAAATACTATTGGTGCAACATTACAAATGTCCTACTAACACTCACTTACCTGTTTTTTGTCAATCTCTAGCACCTCGGAATGAATATCCAAAAGCCTAGAGGTGAATTCATCTGCTTTCTTAGTCCTGCATTGATCAAACAGAGACAAACGATACCCAATTAAAAGCCAGTAAAAAATGAAAGAAAGAATAGCGCAAAAATTGCATACACAACAGAACATGACGAAATTTGCAAACCTGGAGAGGGATTCCTGGAGAAACCCAGCATCCAAGCTAACACGATCAACCAGTTCATTGAATATAGGAGCCAACTCACACGCTTCTCTCCATTGGTTCTCCGGAAATGGCATGGGTAACAAGGCAAGCGGTGCATGCACCATTCCCACGCCAGGAACGCTTCCCGATCTCTGCAATCCAAAAACACATTCATCCATCGTTACAAAATAAAATCACAAACAAGCAACGATAATATCAAAGAATCTAACACCACTCTCTCCAACACACTCTTTTCAACCCCTAATCAGTACTTAGTAAAAATTTATTGAAAAGCACAAATGCAAGTATACACGCCATTAACTCAGGAGAAACTCATTAAACCAGAGCAGATTCATAAAATTTACTACTCGCAATCTTAAAAAAGGTGATAGCAAGAGAGTATGAGTGAGAGTGTTTATATAAGTGTGACCTGAACGGATTTATCGCCAATAACAAGGCCGTGGAGAGAGCTCCAAACGAGTGCGTCGTGAGCGACGTCACGGAGAATTTGATCATCGAGATAATGGTAATTGAAGTGAGGAGAGTCGCGTTCAGGGGTGTGGGTGAGAGTTTCGCTTTGAGACGTTGTGATTTTCGTAGAAAGGGAGAAGAAAGAGGGTAATTGTGAATGACGGGTGAAGATAGAGGAATGAGAGAATTTGGGGGTGGATTTGTTGGTGGAGAAGCACGGTGTGCCGGGAAATGCAAAGCAACCAAAACCAGTCGCCATTTTTCACTCTCCTTTTTTTGCCTTTTCACAGTCTGAATACACAGCTTATAAACAATATCTTCTTTCTCTTAATTTTATTTTTCTGATATCACATTATTATTATTATTATTATTATTATTATTATTATTATTATTATTATTATTTTGGATTTTTCTCTAGATGTAAAATGGCTGCGGGAATGTTCAGAATCATTTTCCTTAATTTGGTGTAAGTTCCCGTGCGGGCGAATCTGCACGGAAGGACTTAATAGTGACTAACAACTGTTTCCTTTCTTTTCTGTTTGTATCCCTTTCAGTGGGCCATCCCCACGACTTTATTAATCAGATTTTGATCTGCTACATTTTTTTTTGCTGAAAACTGATGAATCTCATCCGTTAATTTATTTTATTGTATAATAAATAAATTTAAAAATTAAATGTTATTGAATTTAGTGGTCAGATTTACAACTGCACATAGTGTAGTTTCTTTTGAAATTGCAGATGATCGGCATCCTACCATCAAAGAATTCAGAATCCTGCCTTTGTTAAGAAGATTCGGATCTAACAAGTTCCTAACTAGAGTCTTTCTTTTGACTACAGCCAAAACTAGAATGAAAAATGGTAAATTCTATTTTACCCCCATATTGAGGTAAATAATGGTAGAATTAGAGAAGTCTTTTGGTAAAAATATAAAAGAAAGAAAAAGAGAAAGAAGAAAATAAAAGAGAATAAAAAAATAAATAATAAATAAATTAAAAATAAAGTTACTTGGTAAAAAAATAATATAAACAAGTAACAATAATAAGAAAAATAAAAATATAGAAGAGATATATACATTTTTATTGATATTTTCTTACATAAAATTTTATATATATTACATATATTAGTGAAATTGAGATACATTATCCCTTTATATTTTTATTTAATAAAGATATATAAAAATTACAAATGTTTCTTAAATTAATTAGTATTGTACCTGCTTGTCAAATCTCAAGATTTTAAGTTCAAATTTTATATTCGTAAAACTAATTAATTTTTAATATTATTTTTATTACTTAAAAATTAAAAATTAAAATCATCTAAGAAAATATGTATAATAAATCATGTTTTATATATATATATATATATTAT